ACACACACACACACACACACACACACACACACACACACACACAAGCGCATATACCCATGAATTACTCAGATGTCTGTTGGAAGACAGCGAGGTGTAATGCTACGGAAACATGGTTCATTCACAGCTCCTTACTTATCACGCTCGCAGACACACGTTCTCGTCAAAAGCACGGCCACGCGCGTGCCCGCCCGCTTGTTTATGCGTTCGCGATACGCGCGCGCGTCTCCACGGCTATACCATCGGCGACGACGGCGACGACGACGTCGACATCGTCACGACGCTGAGGGAGAAAGAGAAAGAGAAAGAGCGAGCGAGAGAGAGAAAGAAAGAGAGAGCGACGTCCGATGAACGCGCGCGCAAAACGGAGTAACGTTACGGAGTACCGTCTATCCAACGAGATTCGCAGCGTCGTCGAGCAACAACGAGCTCATTGACATTCCGCTGGCGCGCTCGAACGTCGTCGTCGTCATCTTCATCGTCAGGGTTCGCCTCTATGCGCCAGAGAGCGCGGAGAGATTTTTGCGCGTCGTCGTCGTCGCCGCTGCTCGGACGCCGCCGGAGCGAAGAACAAAGAGGATAGTAGCCAGGGCGCGGGGGAGGAGGAGGCGTGCATTTAACAACGAGAACGCACCGCTGGCGACGTAGCCACCGCTGGCGACCGCGAGAGCGAGAAAGAGGGAGGGGGAGGAGGAGAGAGAGGGAGAGAGAGAGAGAGAACGAGAGGCGGAGTGCGAAAAAGAGAGAAGTGAAGAAAGACAGAAAGACAGAAAGAAAGAAAGAAAGAAAGAAAGAAAGAAAGAAAGGAAGGAAGGAAGGACGGAAGGAAAGAGGAAAGACAGGACAAAGAACGGAGCTCTGGATGGCTGGTTGACTGGTTGACTACAGCTAGGCCAGCTAGCTAAGCTCGCTTATTGCACGATTGCCTTGGTTGGTCGATGAGAATATATATACGTCGTACATATGAAAAAGGTCTCGCAGAATGACAGCGTGTTGCCAGCCAGCCAGCTAGCCAGTCATCCAGCCATCCAGCCATCCAGCCACAATAACGAGAGAATGCCCTGGCGCATGACGCCTTCGCACTGTCGTCGTCCTTGTCGTAGGTCATAATCGTCGTCTTGGTCACGATGAGGACGCGAAACGGCGGCGACGAGGATGCCCGTGGTGGCCGCCGCGCTTCGCGGAGGCCAGGGGAGCGAATCAGCTGTTCGCCTCGGCAATGACAACATTGAACACGCACGACCCCCCCGGACTGTGTGTGGCAGCACTTCGACGCGCGTTTCCGCGGCCGCGTTTCACAGGATCCGCGTTGGGTCGACGTTGCATCCGTACGGTTGACTTACCTCGAGCCTGGTGCGCCCGGAGTGTATCATCCTTTTGCGTCGCGTTATTTTGCAAAACTTCCGGGAGTATACCCGCACGGTGCAGTCGCGAAAAAAAAAACCGTCGCGCGGCTGAGCGAGTCGCTACGTTTCGCGAGAGAAATGGCCGAGTCTACTGAACGCTCGACGTGCAATCGCGTAGGGGGACGGAGGGGTACTGCCACTGGACGGTGCGCCGCCGCTTTCCGTCGGCGCTGCCGCGGCCCGCACAGCTGATTGGCCGGCGGCGGCCGACTTGACGACAGCGCGGCCAACCACCGCGCTCGCAGCCATTGTTTACACGCTTCCCATTGGATCGTTATTTTTGAGGGAGTAGGACGACGATGACGGCCGCGACAGCGACGACCGCGACGTGCACTTTGTGTGCAACGACGTGAGAGAGGCGCAATTCGCACTCTGAAAACGAGGGAGATAGTAGAGTGCGCGCGAGCGCACACACGAGCGCGTGCGAAATGCCTGGTGTAGTGAAGTGTAGTTACTGTAGTTATAGGCAGCGCTGTTACCGACGTTAGGATTTCAGACGGTTACCAAGCGGCAACTCGTCCCAAATATATAAGCGCGCGCATCGAGTTAAGATCGGCGCGTGTTGCTAGGTTCGCTTTGATTCGTACTTCGGGTAGAGAGAACGCGGTCGGGAAATAGCCCCGTTGACCTGGATTCAATTATGACTCGACCGAAATATTTAATTTACGGATGAGGGGTCGGGAAACGGGGGTGGGGGGCCGAGGCGACATGCGAAGTCTCAATGATCCGAGCGGGCGTTGTGATAATGCAGCTGCCCACATAACACGCATGACAGTTTGACGGCTATAATAGTCGACTTTTTTTAGTAAACTTAAAGTCGACTTCTAAAGTCGACGTTTAGTCGATTATTCTATGATGACTTTTTGTCGAGTTTGAATGTCGACTGGGGTAACTGTCCCTATTAACGTGCCTTTTAGACCAACTTACTTATTACTGAATTAATTATTAAATATTGTAGCTTTATTTTATCTGCTTGCAATCAATATCGGTTTTTCAACTATTTCTTTTTCTTGTAATATTTCTTTAATTCTTTAATCTAAAAAATGTTAATACTTTATAATGTTTTTGACAAAAATAAAAAAACATGTTTTGGTCCCTATTAGTGAGTCCTCCAAGCGGCGGTGACCCTATTAATGTGCCCCCAATTTGTGTGCCTATCCACATTTAATTCATTTCAACATATAGTTACTAAAACAGGTAATAAATTTAAGCTAATTATTTAAGTTGATATTACATAAATCATTATTTCAATCATATATTTATTTCAATGTACACTTATAACACAACGTTCTCAGCTCCAATACAGAGCACATTAACAGGGACGAGTTTAAAATCTTGCGGTACGTATTAATGGATTCACATAAATTCCTCACATATCTTTTGAAAAATATTTAAAATACTTTAATACTCAAAAAATAAAATATTATTTTCGCTATCGTATGCATTAATAATTTAACTTAACAAAAAAAAATATTTTTTCTTATTTATTTGTGCTAGTTTTCTTTATGACTTATCGAAAAACAAAAGCACCCTAGGGACAGGTACAATAATTGGGACAGTTACCCTATTTTCGAAAATCTAAAAATTGCCTTTTTAAGTTCGACCTTTTAGTTTTGATTTACAGTAACTTTCTATTTATTATTAATAATAATATTCAGATGCGCTACATATATTCCAGATGATAATAAAAATATTTAAAAAATGACTTAAAAATGGCTTTTTTGCTCATTTGCAAAATAAAAAAATATTAACACACAATAGAAACTTGTTAAAAACTTGATCGATTTAATTGTATTATACTTTAATTGCATTATATTCTTTACATGTAACACATTTAAAGAATAATGAAGTTATTACATTCACCAAGTCTTTGGAAATGTTAAATTTTATTTACATTTCGCCAAATTGGCTAAAAGACGACTTATACAATATCGACTAAAAGTCAACCTAACCATAACTTAAAAGCTGTAATAAATTTACAATTATCGACTTATAGCACACAATGTTGACTAAATGTCAATCTAAGGTGCGATCTACATGCTGCAAATACTTAACCAACCAGAAAAAAAGAATGTTACAAATTAACCAGTCAAAGAAAGCATTTGCAGTGTAAAGTGGATCACCCCTAGTCATAACTTATAAAAATATTATGATGGAAAATTGTGGACTTATAGGATGCGATCCACTTGACGCTACAAATGCTTCGAAACTTTTAATTGACAAATCGGAAGAAAAAATTTTACTAACTGACCAATCAAAAAATGCTTCGAAGCATTCGTAGCATCATAATCGCCATAAAGTCGAATTTGAATTGATTACATTGGCTAACTGACAGCCGACTGTAGTCGAAACATTTGTCGATTAAAAGTCGACATTCAAAGTCTGACTTCAAAGTCGACTTTAGATTTCTTCTACCGACTGACAGTCGACTAATAGTCAACTTTGTGCTGCATGAGTGATTACTCGTCTGGGTGCCTACGGACACTTTTTTCGCGTAATAAACGTGAATAGAGCGAATTATGAAAATTAAACAGAGTGGTGAGTATATTTCAAATATATTTCAAGATTATGTTTACGTGGAATATTTATGTATTGTTTGCGTTAAATTTATATGAATCTTTGTCATGTAGACAATACAGGCAATGTAAAATATGTGAATCCCCATAGCAAAAAACGTCACAGTTACATCAAAACAATCATGGTTACGTCATGGCGACGTGCGAATGTCCGCTTTGTTACGAATGTGATGTCACAGCAATGCCATGGTGATGTGCGAATGTCTTTGTAACATGTGTTATTTTGTTATGACAATCTCACAGTGACATCATATTTTCTTCCTGTTGTGACTCTATTACGACGTGATTCTTTGCTATGGGGGATTTATTATAAGCTGAATAATACAAGAATTAAGAAGTATAAATTTTATAATTATTAATATATCTTACTTTAGTATTGATAAATAAAAATATACGTATAACATTCAATGATTCATAGATTGTTTACATAGATAGGCATGTAAAACATAGTTTTCATAATTTACATTGTGTATACATGTAGATGTTATTACATTTTACGCGTAAAATCATAATTCTGAAATTAAGCAATTAAATGATAAAAAAGGTTTGACTTGCAATGTTTTGCATTATAACGAATGCACTGTGACCCAATGGAGAGATTGCGTAATGTAGACAATGATGATTAATTGGATAAGGATTAATCATCGTCGATTAATTTAGACGTAATAAAATGTACTTTATTACGTATTATAAACGCTAAATACGTCTAAAAATATGTTGTTTTCAGATTAATAAAATATAATTGATACTCCATACAATAATTAATAAAAATAATTATATATATAAAATATATTATCATATTTATTTAATTCTCTAAAATATAAAATAAAAAAATTTAATTACACGTTACAATAAATATATCAAATCTGAAGAAGAAAGCATTATGTCTGTAAGTAATTTCCAAGTTTTGCTATAATCTTAAATTAAAAATTAAGTAGTTAAATAAAAAAATATATTCTTGTTTATCGTCAATTATACCTACATTATCATACGATTATACTAAATTGCGCCGAGCTCTAGACAAAGCGATGATATTATCGATAAGCCATGGTATCGGCTTATCTTTCAGTTGTAGAATTCAATAGCAGGTCAGTGTAACTGATTATCGAAGCATCAAAAGTGATAAAAAATAAATTAGAACAAGAATGATAAAAAAGAAATACAATATTTATGAAATACGATATCTGATCCAAAATTTAAGCCCATTAATTTCGAAAATTTTCATATAGTTATTTTGAATTCTCGTTTTAATATAACATGAAATGTTTGATTTTTTACTATATATTCATTAAACGCAGATAATTAAGTTATACTTATCGGTAAACGTCGTTGTGACGTCGATAAATGATAAAAATTTATCGTAAATAGTCAATAAAAATAACGGATGTATTTGTAAAGACAAACGATTGCATGCATGGAAACTAACAGATTGAATATGCAATCTATATATATTTTTTTTACAAGGTTGATTGTGATTCACGCGTGACTGCGTTGAACGCATAAACTACGATCTTGTACTCTGAGAAAGATTTATAGCTCCACTTCGTATCCTATCGCCTCGTAATAATCTTTAATATGTAATAAAAATTTATGACATGATCTATAGTGATAATTTAGAGCGCCTCTTGATCTTTCAATCGGTGAACTTTGTGCCATCACAAAAATTCAGACATAGCCCGTGCAACCTTATCGTTATCGATAACGTGATATCGCTTGATATTTATTTCAATTGTCGGTATTGATAAAGCGAGCGAAATCGGAAAATATCAAAGTTAATTAGACAACTTTTAAACATATATGTATAATATTTCGCATTCGCTTTGCTCTTATAAAGCAGAAGACGTATGACATTATTATCACCGTTTATTATTTTTATGAGCTTATTTTTATTTATTTATTTTTTTATATTTCACACTCTGTGTGTGTGCGTGCGTGCGTGTGTGTGAGATTTAATATTTTATTGCTGACTTTCAATTTTTATATTATTTAATTACTGATGTATGTTTTTTTAACTTCCGACCACTCGTGACATTTAAACGTTTTTATTGCTGATTGTCTATTGGCTTATTAATTTTACGGACCTCTTTCCACGCTTATTTATTTTTATACCGTTTCTCACGATGTATAATTGTAAGCTGATATTCATTCGTTTTAATCTTTGTTTTCTGTTCTTTATTTCATTTGATAAGTGAAAACTGCTTTCTAATTAGCTGACGTATTTCATAAAATTATAGAATTTTTATGTCATTATTTTTTTAAGCCGCATTATCATAGCCCATATATTCTAAAAAATATAGGTGTGGATTTAACAGCATACGTTGTAAATATAATTCTCACTATGTTGATATTAATAATATCAACACTAACATAATGTAGATTAAAAAATTATAGCGTTAAAATACATATTGATGTTTATATTAACACAATGAAAATTACTTTAACACTGCATGTGTTAAATCCATTCATATTTTTTACAATTATCGTAGCTCATATAGTCTAAAAAAAGTATAGATGTAGATTTAACACCATATGAGGGGTATAAATATAATTCTCACTACGTATATTAATAATATCAACACCAACATAATGTAGTTTAAAAACTCAGCGTTAAATCCATACTGATGTTTGTAAATATAATAATTATTAATACAGTGAAAATTACATTAACACCGCATGGTGTTAAATCCATCTATACTTTTTACAGTGTAGATTACTCAATTGACCAACCAGAGAGTGTGAGGCTATTTTTTAATATTTGTGCGATTACTGGAGATGGCTCGAAATTAAAACAAAATGTTCAAATGTATGTGTCTCTAACAAACTTTGTCGATTATTTTACATCAATTGATTTTTTCACCGAGATCTGCGTCTGATTCTCCCATCATTGGCCCTACTTTAATTATTATTTTGTTTAATTTGAGGATGCTATTAATCTTATATTTTTTTTAAATTAATCCGATATTCAAAAGCATACAGACGTCATGATCAAATTAAAAACAAGTACGCATACATATTATTTTTGCATGGTTTAAACCAGATATATAGTATGTATATACATAAAATGTTTATAAATTTAATACGGATATTTAATAATTAAAATAATCTGTGTTCTGAGAATGACTCGAGTCGAGATACGTAAACGTTTTTAATGTAATATAATTATTTTTATTCACATATTATTTATTAATTTTACACACGGTGTACCGCGCTTTTTTATTTGCTCTTTTTCTATAGTAAAAGTTTATTTTATTGTCTATCCATACATTGGAAAATAAAATATTTTATCAAGTATACAAAGAGGTGATTACTGTTCTGGATAAAATTACAATTTTAGTGCAGATTATTACATGTAAGTGTGTCATATGTGTTTTATTGATTGTTTTCTTCTTTTCTCGTTTTTGTTGCAAAAAGATCCGTGATGATTATTCATAAAACATATTTTGACTAAAATTATCTTTCAAGACTAAACGACTTCCGCTGCAATCTCACAATTGCGACTACATGTATTCATGTATTAGATTGATCATTTCCCAAAGAATTCATTTAAACCGCTTTGTGATATCATTTTTATTTTTATCGATGTCGTGAAGATTTCACACATCAACAAGAAATATGACTATTATTCTGAATATTATCTGAAAACTTTTAAAACTCTAAAGATAATGCGAATTTATAAAAATATGCGTATTGCACGTATGATATTTTATTGCACTGTCTAAAAAATTCCTTGAAATACATACATTTATACAATTTGACTTTTGATTAATTGAATTGATTTCGAAATTGATGCAGATTAATTTTATCAGTTAATTATCAGTGTTATTTAATCAAATCGACGTGAATTCTAATAAAGAAATTTTTCGATTTCGCTTGCACGGTTAGATCATTTTTGGGATATGACACTTCCTGCAAGATTATTATCAAATGAAGATGATTGATATAAAAATCAATACATCTGTTGCAATAGCCAGTTATTGTATTTTTAACTGTCGAAGTGTAATACGTTTTGATATTTAATAAATAACTATAATGAAGTAAATTTCTGAAGACTTATACGATCTTTAACACTATATGCAACAACAGGATAAGTAACGTGATAAGTAATGTGATAAGTAACGATTTAAAGTTTCTTAATACTAGTGTACGCAAGTTTGATATCAAACTACTTGTCAGTATTGAAGTGCACGACCTATATCGTACGCGATTAAGTTTGTTTTCTATCTTCTTTTTTCATGAACACTCGAAAATCCGTTTAGAACTAGGACAAGATTTGACCATTAAAGCCCGTTTTTATCAGTGTAGAGTAACTTTAATCTCAGTTCAACTTGCACTTTATCTTTTTCCAATTCTCAAAACTGAAAAAAAGATGAAGAATTAGTCAAACCGAGATTAAAATTAAATTATATTGATAGAAACGGGCCTAAGTCTAAATTAAATTTTCGGTGTGTAAAAGATAGTCTATCTTTCTATCATCACTGTTTCTTAACGTGTATTGGCGAGAACAAATCTTACATCATCGCGGTAGTGTTCTCGATTATAAAAGTCGATAAAATTTATTCCTTATTACACAGCGGGATTAAAATCACTTTCGTAATCAATGTCATCAAGAAATATGCAAGCGAGAATGTTAAAAATCTAATTCTATTCGATAATTGAAAATACATTTTATAATTTACAGGTTATTATGTGGTAATTATTGCTGCCTTGGCAGTTATTGTTACCGGAGTATCTGTGAAGGCACCTGAATGTCCGTCCTCAGGCATCGTCATACTGCCTCATCCGAAGGAATATAATCTATATTACATTTGTCAGGACGATAAAAGCACAATTTACAAGTGTCCCGATGGTCTGTATTTCAATAGCACTATTAAGCAATGCGACTGGCCGCCCGCAGGACGTTTCCCCAGAATGAATCCAGAGACTGAACCACTTATATCTGAGGAAAAGGCTGATAAGTCTAATTGCGTCGGTACATGTCCAATTTTGAATCCTAAGGATAAAACGATACTTCTGCCGTACAGAGGTGACTGTAACAAATTTTGCTCGTGCAGCAACGGCGCGCCTATCGTTTTGTCCTGCCCACCCGGCTTAAATTTCTACGAAGCAGAACAAGTCTGCAACTGGCCATGGATAACCGATTGTCCATGGTAAATAAACAAGGGCAAAATCTGTAGACGAGGATTGAAATAAAAAGAAAAAAAAGTGCAGTTTTGCGATTCTCTCCACTTTTATCGCTTATTCATATATTGGAAGAGATGGAAGAAACAATGGTGATTTGGACAAACACGCATCTGTTCTTTAATTTCTTATTGTGGAGACAATAAAAAACTTAACAGAATAAATTTAAATTCATATAATACATTTGTGTTCGTAGGTTAAAGCAGATAATAATTTATACAAATTACCAAATTGATAAACGTTATCAATAGATAACAGAGTACTTAATATGACCTGATTATTATTATTATTATATCTTATATCTGATTATTTGAAAATAAAATAAAATAAATTATTATGTCAGAATTTTTAATCAACTGTCTCTTTTCTCTCAAAGATAGTATGCATCTCAACTCACGATGTTTTATAAACGTTAAGAGGTGTCATTTATCGCAATTTTTTAATTTTCATAACTCTTTGCAATTAAATCTGAAGCTAAAATCTCTTTAAAATAAACCTGTCTTAAGAAAATTTCATAAAACTAAAATCGCGTTGTACGCTAATTTATCATGTTACTTAATTATCGAAAAATTACACAGTTTAATCGTGAAATGCAGAAAGTTTTGATCGAAATCAATGTATTTCGAAAGAAGTTTATTAGAGATCTTTCTAGAAATTGTGTATATGATCGCTATAAAGGCATTGTTATTTTAGATAGAATATATTTTAAATAATTAATAAATTTATAAAAATCAAAAAAATTGAATTTTTAAATAAAGTTCAGAAACTTGTAATTTTTGTGTATTTCATTTTAATGTCGTTTCAATATTTCCTTCAAAAGTTAACATTTTTATTGCTATATTTTTTATTATTTTAAGATTATTACACTCTCATTTCACACCGTGAGATGGGCGAATACTTTAATAAAATAAAATTTTTATCCTCTATACGAATGTTCGCAATTTTATTCCGCGTTTATTTACTTGACACCCTGTAATTGATACGTACAAATATATTTTTGCACCTGCTTCGATATGCTAAAGTAACTTTTAGAAGAGAAGGGTTCTGTCAAATGTTAGATATGATAAGCACATACCATGCGATAACGCCGTGCGCTTATATAAAACTCATTTCATAAAGACGAATTCGTCAGTTAACAATTTAATAAGTGAAGAAATAGATACTCGTCTCTTCATTTAGCGAATGGATTTTCCACGATGAAAGGTGAGTGTTTGTAACTGACGGAATTCCGATGAAGTGATAAAATAGAAGCAAACGGGAGAATTATTTAATAAATTGGATAACTGTTGAGTGGCAAATGTGCAAGATAATTATTTGGGCACACAAAAAAAAAAGAGAAAAATTTGTGCAGTGCGAGTAATTGTGTTTAGTTGTGAATAAATATCAGTGAAGAAACGTAAAATAATATAGTAGATACATACAAGCTTAAAATATTTTTATCATAGTTACTTTGTAGATTTTCCATTTTTTAATTGAATTTTATACAAAGTACTTATAAATTTAATAAAAAAATGTTATTTTTCAAATTTAGTTACTGAGTTAATTTCAATTAATATTATATATATTGTTAATATATTATATATTGATTTCTCTCAAATAATATTATATATATATATATATATATATATAGATTTGAATTTTAAGCAGATACTAATGATCATTTTGCACCTAGATACATGCAAGTTTAAAATATTTTTATCATTATGTAGTTATTTCGTAGATATTTCCGATTTTTAAATTAAATTACAAGTAAAATTTTTATAAATTTGATAAAAAAAATATTATTTTACAAATTTAATTACTGAAATTGATTTAATAAATAATTAACATATCATTACACATATCATTTTGAACGCACATACTTAATGACCATTTTATTCGTAGATATATACAAGTTAAAAATTTTCATTATTATATAATTACTTTATAGATATTCCGTTCTTTCATTAAATTATGTGAAAAGTATTTATAAATTTGATTATTTGAATAAAATATTATTTTCCAAATTTAATAACTGAAATTAATTAAAAAAATAATTAACATTATATGTATATCTATATATAAATATATCGGTTCGAATTTTAGGTACATATTTAGTGGCCATTTTAGTGGTCACATTGGGTATTGCCCTCAATGGATCACTAGCCGATATTCCAACAAAATGTCCCGAGATCAATCCACAAAATGAGACAGTTTTTATACCCCATGAAAGTGACTGTACAAAATTCTACAGTTGTCACATGGGAGTGAAAGGAAAGCCAATAGATTGCCCTTTCATGGATGAGAATGGTAATAAATTGCACTTCAATCCCAAACTTCAAGTATGCGATTGGCCCTGGAGTGCAGGATGTCAGACATCAAGTTCGACAACTTCATCAAGTATTCCGACAACAATAATTACACCAAATACTACGACTTCTCCGACGCCGACGACTCCGACACCAAGTTCTCCAACGCCTACAACGACATCGAATTCTTCGACGACGACGACCCCAACACCGAGTTCTCCGACACCGACATCGCCGACGACCTCGACACCGAGTTCTTCAACATCGACAACTCCGATACTGACATCGAGTACTTCAACATCGACAACTCCGACACCGAGTACTTCAACATCGACAACTCCGACACCGACGACTTCGACACCGAGTTCTCCAACGCCAACGACTCCGACACCAAGTTCTCCAACGCCGACGACCCCAACACCGAGTTCTCCGACGCCGACAACGCCGACAACGCCGACATCGACAACGCCGACGACCTCGACACCAAGCTCTTCAACGCCGACGACCTCGACACCGAGCTCTCCAACACCGACGACTCCGACACCGAGTTCTCCAACGCCAACGACTCCGACACCGAGTTCTCCAACGTCGACGACCCCAACATCGAGTTCTCCGACGCCGACCACGTCGACGACCTCGACACCGAGCTCTCCAACACCGACGACTCCGACACCGAGTTCTCCAACGTCAACGACTCCGACACCAAGTTCTCCAACGCCGACAACCCCAACGCCAAGTTCTTTGACGCCGACGACCTCGACACCGAGCTCTTCAACGCCAACGACTCCGACACCGAGTTCTGCAACGCCGACAATTTCAACACCAAGTTCTCCAATGTCGACAACTACAACATCGAGTTCTTCAATACCGACGACCCCGATACCGAGTTTTCCGACACCTTCATTGGATTCTTGCATATCCGACAACAGAACACACATGCTTCCCCATAAAACTATGTGCGATCATTACTATTTGTGTTTTAATGGCTGGGTAAGTCCCATCTCTGAGAAATGCGACCGCAACTTATTATTTAATTCATTGCTTCGTGTATGTGATTATCCGGAAAATGTAAATTGTAAGAACTCTCCGCCAAATACGGATAAGTCAAATCCATCATCGATTTCGCCACCGTTTAATTACTCATTACCGACAAACTCAGATCCAGTTGCTTTGATTTGCCAGCCAAATGGCAAGCACAAAATTCCTCATGAAATTATGTGCGATTACTATTATTGGTGTATCAACGGCATAAGAGGTACGAATTGGATAAGATGCGAAAGCAATTTATTATTCAATCCAGTGATCGGTGAATGTGATTACTCGGAAAACGTAGACTGTGAGTGCAGAAGTACTTCGTCACCTGATAATACAGTTCCTTCTTCAATCTCAACTCCAACGACTCCAAGAATTACGCCTCCAACAACTACGACTCCAACGACTACGACACCAACGACTACAATTCCAACAACTACGACTCCAATGACTACGACACCAACGACTCCATCGACTACAACTCCAACAACTACGACTCCAACAACTACGACTCCAACAACTACGACATCTACGACTCCAACGACGACATGTACGACTCCAACGACTACAACTCCAACAACTCCGATTACAACGTTTTCAACAAAAACGACTACAGAAATAACAATTACAACCCCAATAACAGAAATCACAACAAAAATTCCCAATAAACCCCGTGAGAAATGTCCTCCAAAGGAATCAACGGAAGAAGCGCGGATTGCTCATCCATGTCTATGCAACCGATATTACGACTGCATAGACGGTGAAAAGATATTACAAACATGTCCGATTGGCAAGCATTTTGATTACGTGAGAGAGATTTGCGATTGGGTCTCAGTAGTAAAATGTATTCGACCGATTCCAACCTTTAACATTTTAACCTCCGACATTGATGACTATAATACTACATGCGCTCCAGAAGGCAGAGCATTTCAACATGACACCGATTGTTCTGCCTATTATTTATGCTCCAACGGTGAGAAAATTTTAAGACAGTGTATGGAGGGACTCCATTTCAATATGATCATCCAAATATGCGATTATCCGCAAAAGAGTTGCGATTTGAACAGATCCTCGCCAAGAATCAATTTGGATATTTGCCCTCCTTCAGATTCCGTACAGGAAGTATTTTTGCCTCACGAATGTGAATGCACACAATATTATGAATGCATTAATGGAAAGAAATTTCTTCGATTTTGTCCGAATCGTCTACATTTTGATCCTGTTTGGCAAATTTGTAATGATCCAATTGAGGCCAAATGTGTTGCTGATACAATTTCGACAACATCTACTTCAATATTTACAACATTATCAACTACGGAAGCTATCGATGAACCTCGCACAACGTGTCCTCCTAAGGGATCAACTGAAAAATTACGACTTCCTCATCCATGTATATGCAATCAGTATTATGAGTGCGTAGAAGGCGACAAGGTATTACGAACATGTCCAATCGACATGTACTTTGATGACGCAACAGAGGTTTGCGATTGGAGCACCGAAGTGAAATGCATCTCGCAATTTCCATCTCACGACATCCAAATTAACGATTACGATATTAACAATAAATGTTCTCCAAATGGCAGAGCGTTCAATCATGAAAATAGTTGCACTGAGTATTATTTATGCTCTGAAGGTGAAAAAGTTTTACAATACTGCTTAGAAGGACTTCATTTCAACGTTAGTATACAGATGTGCGATTATCCGCAAAAGAAATGTGATCTAACTATATCTGATACACCTAGACCACAACCTATACCGACAGTCGCCTTAAATATTTGTCCTCCCGATTCCATGCAACAAGTACTGTTGCCTCACGAGTGCGATTGCACGCAATATTACGAGTGTATTGACGGAAAACAGATTCTTCGAGATTGTTCGGATGGTCTACATTATGATTACGTTCGTCAGATTTGCAATGTGCCGATTGAAGCTAAATGCAATGATTTCACAACAACGATTCCTGAAAGCTCGTTTCCTACCATCCCTGATTCAAGTAAATGTTACGACGAAAATAATGAAATACCTTATGAACATGACTGCAGGTTTTACTACAAGTGCAACAACGGTAAGAAGATCTTGAAAACATGTCCTAGAAACTTATACTTTAATCCAAAGCTTCGAGTATGCGATTATCCGGAGAACGTCGTCTGTAACGTTGAAGGAAACATATCCAGTACATCAACACCAACCAAGTGCGAAACAATGACAGAAACCACCAATATTCCTCATGAGACCGACTGTAATTTGTATTATGTCTGCGAGAATGGCATCAGCATACTTAAAAAATGTTCTCCGAACCTCGTTTTTAATCCTATTCTGAAAGTTTGCGATTTCCCAGAGAATTATGTCTGCAAAGTAACACGTGACAAGAACAACATTAAAAAGATTAATAAAATAGTTCAAAATCTCGATCCATCTACTTGTATTGGTACTTGTCCAGAAGAAGACCCTGATTTTGCAGTGTTACTTCCAAACGACGATTGCAAGAAATTCTGTATGTGCAGCGGTGGCGTAGCATGGGTTCAACCATGTCCTGACCCACTCTATTTTGATTCTGTTGAAAAGATTTGTAAGAAAAAAAAGGATGCCGTTTGTGGGGTACGTTCGTACAATCAAGATAGCAATTTCATGACTGATAAAACGGTCGACAATGACTATTCGATGAAAACTCTGACCACCGAAAATAATGAGCGCGCAACGTATGACAATCTCGATCCATCTACTTGTATTGGTACTTGTCCAGAAGAAGACCCTGATTATGCAGTGCTACTCCCGAACGATGACTGCAAGAAGTTCTGTATGTGTAGCGGTGGCGTGGCATGGGTTCAACCATGTCCTGACCCACTCTATTTTGATTCTGTTCAAAAGATCTGTAAGAAAAAGAAGCAAGCCGTTTGTGGGGTACGTTCGTACAATCAAGATAGCATTTTCATGACTGATAAAATGGTCGCCAATGACAATTCGATGAAAACTCTGACCACTGAAAATAATGAACGCGCAACGTATGACAATCTCGATCCATCTACTTGTATTGGTACTTGTCCAGAAGAAGACCCTGATTATGCAGTGCTACTCCCGAACGATGATTGCAAGAAGTTCTGTTTGTGTAGCGGTGGCGTGGCATGGGTTCAACCATGTCCTGACCCTCTCTATTTTGATTCTGTTCAAAAAATTTGCAAACGGAAGAAGAATGCTGTTTGTGGAGTTCGTCTATTTAATGAAGATCATGTCTTTATAATTAATGAGAAATGGTAATAAAAAAAGGAATCTATGGCACCTTCAAACAAGGAACATGATGACGGACGCAGGACAAACATTTTAGTCGAAGCTTTATTTCAATTTTAATTTTTATTTTATTGTTTGCAAGTTTGCAAATTATTGAAATTACTTATTAATCATTATATTCACTTTTTTCGTAATTAATTTAGCGCTTAGTAATGTGATAATATTTAGAGTTGAATAAATTTTAAGAGAAAATCCCGTTTTTCTTCATAAGAAGTAAAGGTTCATCTATAATTATTTATTTATATGTATAGAATAATGAACCTCTATCATTAAACAGTACCGCCACATTGTATTGTAACTTGTTAATTGTTGAAATTATTGTTCAACATTAATTAACATTACCTATTATAATAATTAGAATAATTGTAATTCCTCATTATTTCATATTTGTATCACTTAAATATATTAATTAAATTCTATGTTTGTTAGAATAGATGTTTAAATTCATCTATATTATGTTATATACGTCTTAGGTATCGTTAAAAAAAGAATTTTGCATAAGCTATATTTATATTCATGCAAGGTTAAATAGGATTACAAATGTGCTATGTCAATTTATATTATATAATTTGTATAATTCTATTTATCTCAAGCATTATCCCAGGCATTGATTTTCAATTTCAATCTTCCGTTGTGAAATTACATTCCCATTGGACGCGCTATTTGTCATTTTCAAGCATACTCTCATCTTTATCTATACATTGACAAGAAATTCGAAACTTAAACTAAAAAAAGAAAAAAGCAAAACATAATACTGATAACCATTACGATTATGCGGGACAATAATCAATTTTGATTTATTTCAGAATCGAGAGAAAATTAATCCCGATATTAGGAGAGAGAGGAGGACGTTCTGGGAATTGTTTATTGTACATCGTTATAATATTTGCCAATTACGTCCGAAAGAGAGCCGGATCGTGTAACATCGTATAACGTATACTCGTCGGCGTCCGAGTTCGGAAAGTCGCGGAGCAGGATTTGCTCTTTGTTCTGTCTGATGTTCTCTTGCCTTCGCTGTTCGTTTTGCCGTTGCGCATCCTGAATCATCTTCAGGGTCTCCCAAGTGGCATTCAGCTCCATCAACGGCGCAGCATCATTTCGTTTGCCATGCCTGCTCGTGTGATGGTCGATTTTTAATTTCTATACTACGATTGATTCTGTTTTTATTATTACGTACGATTAGACTATCTTTGCGTCTCTTCTTTTACATTTCAAGATAATCTTTTACTCATAATATTAATTACTTATTGAAATTACTAGTGTTTCAATAAGTTCATGTATGCATTCTTTTATCATAATGGCATGTAATAATTATCTATTATTTATTCCATGTAAACCTTGCTTTAATCTGAGATAAAGTAAAGTAACAACCGTAAAGTAACTACCGTAAAGTAACTATTATACTATTCGACAAAAGAAACACTAGCACGGGATAATTTTCTGCAATTTTTGGATGTTGAATACAAATCCAGTTTCCAAATTACTCCATTAAATTTTATTTACATTTATTAAAAAATCCTTTTAGCAGGGTTGAAAATTCTAATAACATTCTTAATTTTGATAATAAAATTTTTTCAGCACATTATATATCGTAGTTGTAATATGACAAAATATATGAAAATAGCTCTTTTTACGGTTTTAACTGTAAATTTCTTTAAAAAATTGTGACATGATGGAGCAATTTAGAAAACAGAGTTGTATTCAATATCCAAAAAGTTAGAGAAAGTGACTCTCATGTTCTGGTGTTGAAAAAATAAATCATTTTTTGTGTCAAATAGTGTTACCAAGCATATGTACATATCGTGAACTGATTAACTAATTATGTTTGAAGCAACCTTATTATTCACTGATTTGTGTCACGAAACGACTGGCATCAACGCTCATAAATGTAATTACCTCGACTTTCCATACATGTGATAAAAATTTTTAACCGAATCGGCGTATCGCTGTAGCTGAACGTTTGAGTTGGTGATCTGCGGTGGTCTAGTTAATCTAGTCATGGGTTCCGGCTCGGCACAAATAATCGTTATTCCGATAATGGTGACAAGCAAGCAACAGAAGAAACGAATAGGATTCATCCGTGTCCGCATTTCGAACAGTTTGAAGCAGTAGTCTCGTTGCTGCAACGATACGGTGAGGCTTGTATACAAAAGAATGTTGGGATGACATGACTCGATATTCATATGTGTGATCGTAAATTCACGATAGACGTTTTCCTCTTTTTCCGCCACGAAATTTCCCGTCTTATATGTGACGCACATCAAACATAACAGAAAATCTTTTAATGCGTAAATAAAAGTTGTACAAGCTGAAGATGATCAAGCATTGCGGGTTTTCCTGCGAGTTCGCTTCAATGCGACTGCTTTGTAAGAAAGAAGTTCCTCGACAATTAACGCGCAAAATTAATTAATATCGTCAATTTCTTTGAATCAATCGAAGAATTTTTGAGAAATATTAAGAATTACTTTGTTCCTTACAAATATCGTGTTGTACCATATCATATTTTTTATATTTTTGTAAATGCAGAAAATAGTTTATAAAAATATAATATAAATCTTTTGAACTTTTATTTTTTCGTGAATTCCTTCTACTTTGGGCTTGAACTGCTCTGTTGCAATTATAATTATAAATTGTCAAAAGAAAATGGAATTATTTAAGTTGTGAATAACAAAGGACACGGTATTAATTTTAATTTGCTTGTGGAATCGATTCGAATAGTGATAGGCAGGTGCAAATCGTTGGAATAAATTCGTTAAGAGATAAACTTGCCATGCACGAACGAAACGCGAAATGACAAGGGGAATCGCGACTCAATTTCGTTGAATATGCAAAATTCATTGTGCCGTATTCTAATGCATACGATTATACATATATACGAGGTATAGAGTACTACGACTGATTACGGCGATAACGAAGCTGTCAAATCAATCACGGAATTTGATTTTCAGGTATGTTCTTTGTGATGATGACACATTCGTCACGTTGACTGATTACCGGATCGATAAAATAGCTGCGTTTAGCAAACAAAATTGATCAGTGAGCGCTCAGTGATTTTTTAATATGATTGATTCTCTTTAGTTCATCGCTGAATCTAAATGTAGAAATTATATTAAAGAATCACTAAACACTCACTGTTCAATTTTCTTTGCTGAAAAGATCCAATGTGTTTCTACTTACAACGCCGTTATTTGTGTGAAACAAAATACTTGTGTTCCATTAACAAGATTAATTGACTGTCATATTAGCCAGAGAATTCAACAGGTACATACATTAAATATATGCGCGCGCGCGTGTGTGTGTGTGTGAAAAACGCAAAAATAATAAATATAGAAATAAGTCATTTTAAATTAAAATTAAAAAAGTACATTGAAGTACCACTAAAACTATTTTATTTAATATTAGGTTTAAAAGTAAATAAAAGAAACAAAAATGTATATTAAATAAATTATATGTAATGTTACAATGTAATTATTAATATCAATAATACGTCTACGGTTTTTAGTTTTTCTTAATATTATCATCTCAGTTTTACGGTATATAAATTCAAAAATGAATATATAATACTAATATAATATTTTAATTTCCTTGCTGACTGTTAATTCATAATCACTTATCGTTTAAGTATTATATTTACCTTCTTGTTATATCTTTATCTTTAATAAACTAAAGACACTAAAGAGTGTTATCAGCTAGATATTCATAACCTACTCAAAGTTACAATATCTTTTAATGTGTTAATAATTGAACCATTTATCTTAATTATATACAATTTTAAAAAGATTTAATAATTGTAATAGACTACATCAGTAATTTATATCTCAAGTTACTAAGAAATAACATAATTCTGCTATAATTTATTCTGCATAGAAAGAAAACTAATATTAATTTAGAGTGACTGTTTCGCAATTTAAATTTATTAATACATAAATAAAAATTATAATTCTAATAGAATACATTTAGAATGCTAAAATAGATTTAGTATTGGTTTTATGAATAATAAAAAAATAACAAAAAAATGTATCTAAAAAATATTTTATGAAGGTTACTCCAAAACGTTTAATAATCGGAATATCTGCAGTTAGATTTTTATCAAGAGTTTTTCAAACACTTTTTTAAATCAGTTACGATATCAAAATTATAATTTTTTAAAGAATTAACAGTTAGAACTCACCGCTCGACAAATAAACCTTCGTGGCGATTTGTATAGTAGATTAAATAGTAAATCAATTAAAGACAAATATCCACTTGTATAGGAAGACCGAGTTAAATTCACTGATACTTTACAAATTCTTTCTCACCCTCGCGATACCCTGGTATCTTCTGAATATACCAGCAGCGAACGTTTCAGTAGTTCGAATCAATCGCTATGCCGCCGACAGGAGTATATATACCTACAAAAGCACCCTCCGATGCATCCCCTCAACTATAAACCACAACCAATCCCCGAGATTTAACCCCACCAGTCATCCTATCCGTTGCTAACAGAAAATATCACTGACAAGAATCAAGGTAGAAAACTGATACAGGATTATACCCAAATAGATAAGTCACGATAACGTCAAAATAACATTAAAATCGGAAATGATTGAAAAATGACTTGTAATAATCATTTTGGTATCATTTTGACATTATTTTAATATCATAATAACTTGTTGTTCTGCTTGGGTATGGAATAAAAAGAATAGAACAATACATGGAAAATAATATTAAACGGAAGCACTAATGATTATACAAAGTTACGCGACAAATTATAAAATTACTGTTTCAGCATGTTCCTGTACGAAAACTATCAAGAATATATTTAACATAACTTATTCCACTAATATTAGTTTCTCTGCATTACTCTTCTTATTTTAATAAAATATAATATTATTAATCGTAAAATATAGCATTATTTAATTAGCGTATTCTTCTTAAAATAAAACATTATCGTGGTCATTTTATTTCGATTAAACAAACGCAACGTGGCGGACACTCACCGTGTGGCGGTGTTCTACAGGTAAAGACTTACCTGATGCAGGTAATTCGCAGAGAAATGTATGTATATGCCATAAGTTAGACATATACATATATATATGTGTGTGTGTGTGTGTGTGTGTGTGTGTGTGTGTGTGTGTGTGTGTGTGTGTTGTGTGAGTGTGTGTGTGCTTATTTATAAAATTATTTTGTCATGTGTTATTTCGAAAAATTAATAAATAAAAAATTGTTAGATAATATTCTATTTTCATATATTAAATATCCAAATATATTCACCGATAACAAAAATAAAAAAAATTGTTTAAATATTTTTAATGTACATTATATTGGTAAATTTATGTGGTACAAGTAATCACATAATTTGACACAACGTAAAATAAATTTTGCTTCTAAAATTTTACTTATAAAATAATGAGAGATCCAATTACATGCTGATAAAATAGTTGGATTGTACAACGTGATATTTCTATAAAAATTTTTTTCAGAGGTATATACATATTCAGATAAATGTCAGCATATCGTTACATAGTACTGAAAAATGGCTGTAAGATGCAGCCTCATATGATGTTATCAACATATAAAATTACTATTTGTCTAATGACGAATAAGTCATTAGGTAAAGATTGAGACGACTGGGTTTGGTCAAACAAAAAATATTTGATAAGAAAAATCCTTTCATATCAATTATTGTGTTACATTGCGAATACGCGAAGGGCTATCATTAACCACGATTCTTTATTTATATGAAATCGTGATCGTGTGTAGAAACACTGTTGTCTTTTTTAATAAAAATGATGAATCAGAGGAGCAATCGGGAAGAAAAAGTAAAAAAAATAGGAAGAAAAAATGTAAGAACTAACGTAAAGGAGACATCATTGACGAAGTACGAGCCACCATCCATCGTCGACCTGCGAACGATGACAACGAGATCGTAGTGGGGAAATCGAGAGAAGCAACCAAGGGTGAGGGAACAACACACGAGCAGGAGAGGAAGCTAACTACAGTGACGATGCTCAAGTCTAGGTGGTTGTGGAGGTGACGGTAGTGGTGGTAATGTTGCAGGCAGAAGAGGGAACCTCCGCAACAGGTTGATGGAAAAGGGGCCGAGAAGAAGGAGGAGCAGGTCGGGACGTTTCGCGCGCGAGGGAGACGAAGAAGAACACGGGAGAGAACGGTCATTGCCACCACCTCACCTCGAGAAGTGCCCGAACGCTAGAGTCCCCGTCGGCACGATAAGCGCCGGCCCCGACACGGTCTACCGTCCGTGGCTGTCCCACAGTTTAGCTTGCCGTCGTTTGTACCTACTCGGCTTTACCTCTTACCCGTGTGGGGGGCTAACTTCTCTCTCTCTCACGAGGACACGAACAAGCGCGCGCGCTCGGCCGATGCGTGTCGTCGTGGCCTGCCAATTCTTCGTGCAGGGGGAGCGAGCCCACAAGCGAACACCAGGATCAGGCTGATCCAGAAGTCGCGAACCGAGCAAAACCAGTTCGATAGGTGCCAGTCGTGGCGAGCAGGTCGAGCCGGCGGCTGCCAACTCTGAGAGGTATCTTCCTCCCATCCACGGATCCCTGTCGTGAATCTGACTGTCGCACGCGACGTATGATATCTCGTGTTTACCGAGCGGATGTCCGGAGATCGGTTGAAGGGCGTTCTCCAAAGCCCGTGAAGGTCACAGGGTCACAGATGAAACGGGGAGGCGCCGGACGTGGGAGACACCACTCGATAGGCTTCGACCACGTGGCCGCAGCTGTTCACCGGGGATTTGCGATCGAGGGTGCGAGATTTGCGTCTGACTGACGTCAGGTGATCCAGGTGATCTCGTGGAACGTGCCGAGAACTCAATTCGACCATCATATCATCAAGAGGAGATAATGCATCGCCGTACAGTTTGACAACTTGAAGGAGTTTTGCAATAACGTCACAAGCAAAAGCAGAAGCAACAACAGCGATCTGTCGAGCGGTGTCAGTCAAGGTATGCTTACGACTCTGTCTCAAGGTTCCGAGATATGAAGAAGCGTCATACTTTCTTGCGCGAGTGACCTTCGTTAAGATTACAACAGTCGACAGTCGATGATATCGTTTTTTGTAAGAGGGCAATGCACTTTCAGAGATAATTCACGATAATTAAACGATTTGATCGCGCGATTGATGATTCCTGTGCTGCTGCAGGATTCCTAGTCATGGTGGGTACTGAACTTGGACGAACAGATGATTTCCTCTGCGGTCTTTCGTCCTTGATCCTCCAAGTCGGCATCGGCGCGATTAATCCTTTTTATAGTTTCTGCGGCCGGATGATTGGTCGGTAACATTGATAGATCAACGACATTAAATTCTTCCCAACAAAGAATCATCTTTATGACATTTTTATGACATTTCGTAACATTTAATAGACTCTGGCTTAAAAAGTTATTAATATCATTAACCTTTCCGAAGTAGAAACACGACTCCGAATCGATTAATGAACTTATAGAATATAGACGAAACGAATGACAACGGATAGTTATTAAATATATATAACAATATTTACGGACAGATGTAATTGCTTACTCTTTTATTTATATATTTATACTTTTGTATTTATTACTTTCTATTTAGATATTTATTTTTTTTTACATAAATATTTACTCGTTCTAAGATAAATTTTATAAAAAATCAAAGTTTCAATAATTGGAGATAGAGATGAGTTGATTTTATAAATAATATCTCCTTTAAAATTTAAGAGCAAATAAAAGAAAGACGGAAGTAGAGAGACGCGAAAACCACACTTGGTTAAGCTTAAGCCAAGCAAAACATATGAACAACGGATTACGGTGGCTGCACATACCAATATTATCCGCTTGATGAACACGGTTTATTGCGAATAATCAATCCAGGGGTTTATGTGTGTATACGGTTGTGGCATGTATCGACGAGCGGGACATATTGCAAATCCGTTGTCGAAGTTAGCCGCATGTTCCTTAGGATAGCGGTATATTAGCTCATTTCAACTGAATTTCATTCGTACGTGGCCAGACGAGCGTATGTGTGTAAACTAATGTCCCGATTTTACGCAGCTTCATGCATAATTTATGAGAGTTTACCCCGAGAAAATTCTAGTATTCCTCGAATCTGTTTATTTCGAGATAGTTATTAAATGCTTCTTTGAAACGATATAAATTAACGTTGATATATAACATGCGTTGCTTTTCTCGAAATATTTGTAACAAATACATTAACTCTCTAGAGCTAATGCTAAAATCTATAACATACACATGAGAAAAATTTCTGATTGAAAATGAATGAACCAGAAAAGCCCTAAACACAATGCGAGGCAACAGCTGTAAGAATAGTGATAGAAATGTTATAGAAATCAGCGATATATAATTGTCGTCTCCCGTTGCACAATGCTGGAAAGAAATAAAAATACCAACCAATCTGATCTCGTATATAGACTGTAGTATATTCTTCCATCTGCTTCGAAGTTATAGCACATATAACAGAATAAAAAATCTGAACGCTGATTGGTAGACTATAAGGCAATAGGCACAGAATTCCAACTCGTCGGAAATTTATCGCTATTGCCTTATTCCATGTTCCTAATATTGTGCATTAGCATATGCATTTCCGTATGTTGGATTCTTCTGTTCCTATCGCTATCACTATTGTTATCGCTATTTCTATTGTTATCGCTGTTGTCTCCCATTGCTTAAATTCCGATCATGTAAATTAAAATTTATCATGATAGAATATCTACTTATTTCTGCTAAGACTACATTCAAAAACGTCCTCTCCGAGAAAAATACTCGACGTAATATAATATACTTTACGTGTACTATTTATTTCGAGTAAAATTTTCTTTGAACAGGACGTTTTTGAATGTAGCCTAAAATTATAACAGATTTAATTCATTAGAAATTGTGATTTGTCCATTTTCCACTAGAGTTCCACTTAATGCAACCAGACTCTTTTCCCAATACAAGTACTGACATTGCATCTGTAAGATCCACTTAATTTAAATATTAATGTTTAACTGTGTGTAAATTAAAAGGCACTAAATAACTTCAAAGAATCAAAATGACACAAAATACTAAGTGTATTTTAATAAAAATAATTCAAATTTTGAGATGTAAGAAAATTGAATTGTTTGTCACTTTTGACAAAGAGATTTATAATTGAATTGGTTCAATAAACCCATCGTCAATGTGTTCGAAAGAGTTAAAAATCAATACGTGAAGCGATTTTGAGATTAAATAGAAAAATAACAGTTTTTTAAATCGCGCGCGATCCCTCGTGAAATCTCGATTAAGATAGCGGGCTTATGAGCATTTCAAATGATTTCGTAATGTTCTTGAATAATTTTCACGGATAGTAGCTAAAGGATACTGGCAGCGTTTGAACTTTCTGGTTTTGCGCTGCCACATTTGATGCGCTCGTAACTATATTATATATCATTGAAAAGAAATTATTTAATGCGGAGCACAGCTCGCAACGCTTAGGATTAAGACTTACGGTTTTATTTGAGCGTACAGTGTATCTCGGCGCCAACCCACATGTGCGCATCGCATTAGATACGTGAGTACAAATGAAAGTGGCAGGTACCGTTACTGCGCGAGTGCTACGTTACGACAAAAGCTTTTTCTGCTCGCGTATACGCCACGCACGTGCGTTCTCGTCGCTTTCCTCTGCCAATTAAGACACGCTATTGTCGGCGGATGTGCAATTTTTTGTCACGCGAAGGAGAGCATCAATTCCATAAATGTCTAAAAGAGCAATTAACACGTTAATACGAGAAAAGAATACTTAAGATTCGTGTAGCAAAGTGCGTCTTAAAAACGTAAGAATTGGTAAAAGTAAGAATGGAAATCAAAAGAATAAGCAATAATAATATTATTACTTTACAATATGTGTTATTAATATAAAATAATAAAAATCATAAAAAATTAATTAAACTTAATTTTTAAATAACCGACCGTTCATTCTGTAAAACAAAATTACATGCATGTATATTGTGGTTTTCGAGTAAAAAATTTGCGTATAAAGCGTATAAATGGTATTCATGAATGATTTAACTTACAAGGAGAGAGTTTAACGTATTTAACAATCAAGCATATTCAAGGAATCAATTGAAACTCGCCCAACACTTTGTCGAATTATGTATGCTTCGTTCTAGTCAATTAGCACGGACATCGTGTGCTCAGACTTTATAAGCGAAAAGAAAAAGCGTTTTTATTATTTATAACAAAAGAGAAGATTGTGTAATAACTAATTAATTAGTTAAAAGTTAAATAATCAAGTTAAAAAGTCAATACATTTTAATTTAATTTAATTAATTCAAAATTAATTAAATTTAACCTCAACTAATTACTTAGTGAAAACATTAACTAATTACAGAGAGAACAGTTAATAAGTTTTATTAAATAAATCGTTAAATTATTAGTATGTTTTGCTAAATAAAACATTAAATTGACTTGTTCACCAACAGATGATTACCGCTCGCTATTACGTCATCGGCAAAGTATAACGTTACATCCAAATTCCTGCCTTTGAATAACTGTAACCCGATTCGCGTGAATTGCACGGCTAAGTTTATCGAATAATTGTCATATCAACGGTGACCAAATAATTAATATCTTAAGATAACGGCTAAAAAGAAAAAGATGTAAAATTCTAGGAATTTAGAGATTGAAAACGAAAACTCAATATCGATTTTGTGATCCAGAAACGAAAATCAACTGAAGAAGAATATTTTTCCCGATAAATTATAAAATTTCTTCTTCCTCTGCTTCTTCATTCTTATCGATGACACACTTATCGAATGTATCTATGAAGTGAACCTTTTTTTGTGAAGCGGTCGTTGACCGAATCGGGGCCGTCTTTCGTCAAGCTCAAATTGTATAAAATACGATTACTAGCTCGTGTAACTTTAAAATTATTAAACATCGTGCAGCTCACAATAAGTTATATATTCCGCTAAATTTCTTTTTCTCTACTAGGATTTTCAACAAATCCTGCACACAGAGAGAGAATTTTTTCTTAGAATTTACCTTAAAAATATGGTTTGTTCTAAAACAATAAAGTCCTAAGACAACATTGTATTTCGAAAAATTTTATGTAAATATCTCTCATTCATTAATAAAACAACAATAAAATATATAATAAGTTTGATTAATTTTATTAAAGTGCATAGTAAAAATCTTTAAAATATTGTATATTGAATCACAACCATCATATATTCAGAGTAAATTTTAAGAGACAATTCTGTCCGTGTGTCTAATTACAAAAAGGATAAAAAGTAAATTACATTATGCTCTGTGAAACAATAATCTGTGTCTGTAATTTAATTCTCAGTTTTCAAAGGGTCATATAGTAGACATATATATACTTAGTCAAATTTCAAATGTGTTATACAGATAAATAAAAATACGAGAGAGAGAGAGAGAGAGAGACCTGAATTATTGATCCAGAATATAATTTCATGCACGATGAGCAATCGGTTCTGCCTTATCATTTATTTGTTAACAGTTTTTACAACTTTGGAGATAGCAACAGAATGTGAATATGCCGTTACAAAAAAAATCGTGTTTAATCATCAAATAATCACAATTAATGATATATAACGTTCGTGTTTAGTTCTGCATCATAGAAGCATATTATACTTGGCTTGGTGCCTACGACGTGTAGTCGAACCATTTGTGTTACCATTTATTTGTTCTTTTTGTCGTGAAAGATAAATGAGCTACACCCTTCGGGGTAACGAGACGATTATCTGTCAAGTGTTTTAATAGCATTCTGACGTCGAGGGCATTAATACGTACTGAAATTATCACCGTAATTATAAGAGATGTAAATGACGCGCTGGTCGAAAGTGGCTCGACTAAGCAGCATCCGGCCAAATTGAAACGAGTCGTCTACGAATCGCGCCGCCGTTAAGAAGTTAAAGCGTAGACACGCGAGCATACTGACGTTTCGCTGTAATTAAATGCTATTACATCATGTAATTACATCCAGACAGAGAGTCTTCTCTTCTTCACTCCGTCTGTTCTTCGTGCGAATCTTCCCAGATTAATCGTCACGCCGCGAATGTCACAGTCGACATTGTCTAAATTAATTACCCGTAAACGGATCTATTTTGCAAATTTTGGAGTGAATTATTAATTACGTTCGTGAAAGATTAAGATCAGATCATTGAGACAAGGAATTGGAATCTTGAAAAACTTTGTTTTTCTTACTATTTTGCGAAAGAGTAATAATCGAAAAAGCACCGAGGAAATACAAATAACGATAATAATGTGGCGAGAACAGTGCCTCTACCCGTACAAATTATAAAATGTGCAAAAAGTATGCGCACAGGAGATTTTTGTAAAAAATCGTTATTTGTTAAAAAATAAACGTTAATTAAAATATAATTATAAATACAAAAATAGATAGTATGTTTCTTAGAATTATTAAAAACAAAAAAGTATATATAAATCAAATATTATTTTAATATGAAGAATTATATTATTTAATTGTACAAAAGTATTCGTGTTTCTTTTAACTTGAATAATAATTTAACACTTTGTAATGTAACCATTGGAACTAATTGTAATTACAATTATAATTAGTATATTCTATTCGTTATTAATAAATTACTAATTACTAATTACTAAATGTTCACTTTTCTTGAAAATAAGATTTCTTTAAAATGTATTTTTTGCACGAATACTTTTTATACTCACTGTATATATTTGCGGAATCACTCTTCGCTTCGAGAAACACACATACATATACATATATGTATGTATACATACATACATATATACAGGGTGTTTGGAAAATAATGACAAATCTTTCGCATAGGGGTAGAACTAAATTAAGAAGAAAAATTCTCTACCATTTTATGATTTTAGCAATAGATTTAGTTAATAAGATATTAATTGCTAAAATTGTAAAATAATACAGGACTTTTCTTCTCAGTTTAGTCCATTCTATCCCTATGTGAAAGACATTTATCATTATTTTCCGAATATATTTTGGTTTATAACGTCTTTCGCCGTTGTCCGATAAACTCTCGTACATTTGCCTGTGGTGCGCACCCAGGTAGTACACAGAGCATACATATACATATTCTTATTTTGTATACACATAAGAAAGCAGACAAGACATACATGAGATATACGGTTCGGTTAGTGCAAAAATCTTCACTGCCTACGATCTTGCCAAAATATTTCTTCGAATATTGTGTTTGATTATTTCGCGAAAGGTAACGGGATTATTTCGAGAAAGATAACGGGAGAGTCATGACAGTGAATACCCTGCACAACACTGATTTAAACTGTTAAATCTATAGTGTCAAATTTAACCTAACTATATAGTGTCAAATATAACCATTGTTTTAGTATAAAATAATGATATGATTAAGTAGGAGCAGTGCCGGCGATATTAAATTAAATTTGACACTATAAATTTAACAGTGTAGGAAAATGAGGGAAAACAGTCGTCGGGAGGACATTGTCTGACAAAAACGTAATAAACTTTTCAACTCATAATTTAAAATTTTTTACTTATTTTTTACTTCTTATTTTATTATACAAAATTATATTTCATAAGTATTGATTCTCGTCATCCGCAATCTACTGAACAACGATCGAATTTCAAAATAAGAATCTCAGAAGAAAAAGATTAGCTTTTCTAGAAAGTCAACCTAATTTCTTCCGGTTTTCTATATTTCAGATGTGTAACCGGCGGAAACAAACCTGGTCCACTGTTATCATCGGCAATGTGTTGATCTATACTATTGTTATCGCCAGCCCGATCTACGTTCCTCAATTTCAACCGGGAAGTAAGTACTTTAGTTCGCTCTATTATTCGCGGGAAGAGTATCAATAGTTTTCTTCTAGATAGCATCGACGCAGTTTGGAGAGTTTCTCTGCAGTAATACACGGTGTTTAATGATCGTAATTCAATTAAAATGCCGTTACGTCGTCTTACGGAAATTGCGTGGTGCCTTTGGCATATCGACCTCTGATTATAACTAACTTTAATTAGATATAATCGTGAACGTAACCGAATTAA